AGCATTTGATGTTGATGGAGTACGATAAGCGTCACATATGGATTCCTCAATGTATATCTCAAGCATTGACATGTCCTCCATCTGAACTATGGCCCACATATTTGTTATAGCTAGCTCATCAGTGAGGGGCATAAGCATGTACTTTTCCCCGTTCATGGGAAATTTCATTTTCAAACGCAAAGAACGGCTAGAATGAATCATTGTGGCTGTATGTATTTTTTGAAGGATCTCGAGCATGCAAGCACCACGACAAACCATGACAAATGTGGTTGTACCACCTTCATGACATATTTGACCAGCATCCTCATAATAGTTTCCTCCCCAATGACACACAATTGGGAAGTTTGAGAAATATCCATATTCTAATAACAATTCAAATATATCCAAAAGTCAAGATTCACAAACAACTCACATTTCAATATGAAAATACCCAAATTTTGATATCTACATTCAAGTCTACATTTCAATACCCAAATTTAGCTACATTCAAATCCACCCAAATGCCCAAAATGTCAAAATATATACATGTCAAAATCAATTTCAAATCAAATTTGAACATTTCATAATCTAAAAATTCCAAAAATTTAACATTCAAAACTCTAAGTTAAAAATGAGATGAAATGAAGTTTGATTTACCTACAAGAAAGAAGAAAGAGTGTTGAAGATGGAGGTTTGCCGGAGTGGGGTCGCCGGATATGGAAGTTCGCCGGAGATGGAAATGGCTCGGTCGTCCTTCGTCTTTCGTAGCTGCTGCTTGGGGGATTTGGGGGTTGGGTTTGATTCGCAGTGTTCTGTTTTGTGGCTGGGCACTGTTTTTACTTAATGGAAAGTCGCCCAACGGTTGGGCGACTTATAAGTCGTCAAACCGTTTGGCGACTTTCCCTGACCACGGTTAAACCCAGCAGTAGATCCGTAAATACTTTTAACCCAACATTATTTTCGTAATTAATTAATTAATTAGCATTAATTCGAAAAAAAACTCCTTTACACTATATTTTGTTCAAATAATTCAATATTATTATTTAGTTTCTATAAATATTTATTATTGATTTTTTTTCTCAATTTGAAGCGTTGCTTATTCTTCTATGACATAAATGAAACGGTATTTACAATTTTGTGTCATGACTATATATATTAAAAGAGTTTTTGTATCGTGCTTGGTGCCCCAATGCCCAATGAATACATGATCAAGTAAATATAATATGATATTCTTTAATAAGTTTCAAGAAATATTTGATGATTTGAAGAACAAATAAAAAATAATATTTTTTACAAATCAATTGTAATTGTTGAGTCCAATAAATGAGCACATACTCTTCTCAAAGCAAATTAAAAAAAAAAGCACATATGACTAGGCCATTCCCGTGAAGCCGTGTATTGGACACTGCAAAATACAGTAACATATACTCCGTATTAAATGATCATTTTGTGGAATTATTATGCACTCCATATATTATACTCCGTACTCGATATGGCACTACAATATCTGCGATTCGACTCGAGTGTTTCGTACTTTCGTCTGCAGGATTAAATCATTTGCTGCATCCCTGCTCCCCCAAAAGTGTAATAATTCAATTACAAAAAAAAAATTAATCATCCTAGAAGATGGGAATCTTTTATTCTCAAATAATACTCCCTCCGTTCTCTAATAGATGGGAGTATAGTCTTTGACACAAGATTTAAGAAGGAATTAATAAGGGTAGGATAAAAGGTGTAGTGAGTTGTGTGTAAAGGTAAAAGTAGGAAAGTGAATGAAAAAGTAGGAAAGAGAATGAGGGTAAATGAGTACATTTATTGAAAAAACTTACCAAAAGTGAAAAAGGAGACAACTAATAGAGAACATCCCAAAATGGAAAGAGGACCGAGGGAGTAATAATAATACAATATTGGCAAAATCTTGCATCGTTGGTGACTTGGTGGGAATACTATATTGGCAAAATCTTGAATGTGGCATTGCTTCACCGCCCAACACTCCACGTCATACATTAATGCAGACCTAATTGTTGTTCAATAAAATTTACCCTTCAGTCTAGTCAGCATACCTCGATCGCATAGAAATCCTGAAGCACTCTTCCATTTCATCCATCCAGCTCTTATTCTATGGCATACATCTCCATCTAATTCATCATCCTTCTGAATTATGGAACCCAAGTAACGAAACATATCACACACCGGTATCTCCTTGTCATTAAGAGTAATCCCATTATTGCTACTACTTCTACCTCCACCAAACGTGCATTCCATATATTCAGTCTTGCTTCGGCTCAGTCTGAAACCCTTGATCTCCAATGTTTGTCTCCATACTTCCAACTTTGCTCTAACACTGGATTGTGTCTTATCAATCAATACAATATCGTCGGCAAACATCATGCACCACGGTATATCTTCTTGAATTGACTTCGTAAGTTCATCCATGACTATAGCAAATAAGAAAGGACTCGGAGCAGATCCTTGGTGCACTCCGATAGTAATAGGGAACTCTGCGGTCCTCCCTACACTAGTGCGGAGATTTGTAGTACAAGCATCATACATATCCATGATGATAGTGATATACTTACGTGATATGCCTTTTCTAGTTAAGGCCCACTACAGGACTTCTCGAGGTACCCTATCATATGTCTTTTCTAAGTCAATGAACACCAAATGCAGATCATTTTTAGTGTCTCCATACTTCTCCGTAACTTGTCTAAGAAGGTGAATGACCTCAGTTGTTGAGCATCCACGCATAAAACCAAATTGATTCACCGAAACTTTCACACTTTTACGAAGTCTTTGTTCAAGTACTCGCTCCCAAAGTTTCATGGTGTGACTCATACGCTTAATTCCTTGATAGTTAGCACATTCTTCTACATCACCCTTATTTTTAAATAAGGGAATGAGAGTACTCTTCCGTCAACTCACTGACTTTTTGTTGTTTCTCCAAATCATGTTGAAGAAACGTGTTAGTCACTCGATGCCTTTCTCTCCCAAACTTCTCCAAGCCTCGATCGGTATGCCATCTGGGCCCACTGCTTTCTTCAACCCCATTTTTCTCATAGCCTCTTTAACTTCTGTTGTTTGAATCCTTCTCACGAAGTCTCGATTTACCATACACTCTGGTATAGTAAAATCATCAATACCTTGCACTTTATTCCCGTTGAACAAGGTATCAAACTTCAAAGTATGACCTCCATCTCTCTTTAATTTCTTTGTCCTCCATTAGTACCCTTTGATCGACATCCTTCACACACTTAACTTTTCTGATATCCTGAGTCATACGATCACAAAGACAAGCAAGTTTGTATATATCTTTTTGTCCTTCTTTAGAGTCCAACTTTACATATAATTCCTTGTTCACTTTTCCTCTGGCTTCCTTCACAGCTTTCCTTGCTCTTCTATTAGCCTCCTTGTACTTCTCTATGTTCTCGTCGCTCCAACTGTTGCCCAATTTCTTATAGCATTCCCTTTTGGTCCTTATTGCTTGTTTCACCTCATCATTCCACCAAGACGTGTCATTTTTTGGTGGCAGACATCCTTTAGATTCTCCAAGTATCTCCTTCGCCACTTTGTTAATGGTGGACTCCATTGATAACCACACATCATCCACATATGCGTCATTATCAATAGACCATACATCTTCCTCCAACATTTTGTGTGCAAAATTTTGTTGGAGATTCCCCACGAGCCTCCACCATTTTATTTTTGGCTCCCCTTATACCTTAACTCGTCTCCTCTTACTCCGTAATATATACCTATTAAAATTATTTAATTGTTGCCTAATTATTTAATTGTCATTTTTTGGTGGCTGACATCCTTTAGATTCTCCAAGTATCTCCTTCGCCACTTTGTTAATGGTGGACTCCATTGATAATCACACATCATCCACATATGCGTCATTATCAATAGACCATACATCTTCCTCCAACATTTTGTGTGCAAAATTTTGTTGGAGATTCCCCACGAGCCTCCACCATTTTATCTTTGGCTCCCCTTATACCTTAACTCGTCTCCTCTTACTCCGTAATATATACCTATTAAAATTATTTAATTGTTGCCTAAATATACTCGAAATACTTTATTTAATTGTTGCCTAAATACCTGTGTCATTTTGCTATGGGAACCTTCCAACGGGACGGAGGTAGTAATATAGATAAAAGTCATCCGAGTCATAACTCATAAAACCTGTGGAACATCAAGATAATAGAAGGGGTTCAAGTATTTTATTTTCCTTTTTTACTTTTTAAGCAAAAAGAGTGACTTGTGTTCACGTATTCATTCTTACTTAAATTTTAAGTTTTTAACCCCACAGTTTTAATTTCCTTAAAATTACTGTGAAATTAAATCTACTTCATCAAAGGTAAACAAAAGAAGCGTAGTTTAATAATTGTATAAAATAGAATGCAAAGTTTAAGAAACATAGAGTACTTCAGTACCTACTCTATCTTTTTTTTTGTGGTAAACCTGCTCTATGTTTTTAGCAATGACAAATGTATTATGAAGTAAAAGACAACATAACTTCCCTACTTTTTCATCTCTACTTTGGATATAGCTCCATTTCCTTAGTCTGGCTGGACAGGACGAGAACCCATGATTCTTTATCTGTTGCCCAAACCCATTTTTTGATTTCTAACCGGAATGGTTGGTCCATATGAGTTATATAGTTCATACAAAATAGGATCACATTGATTCCTTTTTTTAGAATAAACTAAAAAACAGGTATGGAATTGACCCAAGAGTCGGAATCACCTAAGAATTGAACTGCGTAATACCCCGTCATAGTTCTCGCTAACCTTGACCCGGAGCTCACTGGTCCGGAACCAAACCAAGCCATTCCGGTCTCTCCTACTCTTTTGACATATTCCTTGGATTTTATTCTTGAACTACTGGAAAATCCTAGTTGGACATGTATATACACCATTTCTTACATGCACCATTTCTATAGTTGGATTTTATTCTTGGATTTTTACATGCACCATTTCTTACAAAAATACACGTCGACAAGCACAAACGTATATTGACAGAAAAAGTATGAATGCATACTTGTGTATATGGACCTTCTTAGGGAAAAACTAAGAATGCATAAGGATTTGAGGCATTTACCATGGCTTCCTTTTAAAATGATTCAAGTCGGAAACTTCAATATCATAGTCGAACCATCTAGACGTGTTTGTACATTACAGAATCCTCAATACCATGTACCAAAATTTCTTAGTGTTCCTACCCCAATTGGGTCATTAGTAGAATACCTGTATTTCTTCCTTGTAGAAGTTACCTACCTAAAAACTGCCCACCAGTGCTGGTGCTCAAATGCTTTTATCATTCATATCAGCTGTAAACTCTTTCTGGAGATGTTCCTTGGATTGGGTTTTAGCAGCCAACATAACATCATCGAGGAACCCTCTCCCTGGAAATTCTTCAGGCACAAGATCTCGGTACATCTGAAACTGCTCGTCAGCCTCCTTCTTTTTGTCAAGAAGACTGTAAACAATTCCCTGAAAAGAGTCCGTGTCATGATTAGTACTCCCTCCGTCCCTCTATAATTGTACTATTTTTCCATTTTTGGATGTCCCCCTATAATTGTCTCATACCATATTTGGTAACATTTGTGTGGCTCTAATTCATTCTTACTTTATTCCCACTTTATCAACTCATTATCAACCACATAATTCTACTTGTCTTAAAAACCACAACACTCCCTTCCGTCCCAATATTAGAGGACGGAGGTAGTATTCAATTTGTTCTTTCTGTCTCCAGTTATGTTCTCAAATATAAATGTCCATTTCCGGACCAGGATTCTCCCTTTGAATGAATTTGTGTTTCACTTGGATGAACTAATCTTCCCATTGAAATTTTAAAAATTAGGAGAAATAAGAAAATATTCTGGATATAGCTGCCCAAAATAAGACTAAAGTCTAAAACATAACTAGTTTCTTTAAAAATGACTACTATGTTTTTATTTCTAAAATAATATGTATTTGGTCATAGGTAAAAATACATCATTAATACAACAAAGAAGATCATTAAAAAGAGAAGGTCATACAAACAGAAAGATTTTGATAGTGATCATATTTAGGGAATCAAATATAGGTATTTTACTCAACATTCTTGCAAGTAAAGCACTAACCTTTTGTGGTTCAAAAGAATACTACGTAGCATTAAATCTGGCCTTACTCACTCCTGCAGGCTCCCAAAAGACATGGGGTTTATCTCAGACTACCTCTGTCCCGTTTCAAGGTTTCCCGAGCTTTTTTAAGTGAAAATTAAATAGAATAATTTGAATAGACTGAAAAGTAGCTTGGGTGAGTGACTGAGTATATAAGTTAATGGGGTAATTAATAATAATGGTGTTGTTATGGTTTAATAACTTTAATGTGATCATAAGGTAGTCATTTGAGAGAGTTAATTATTTCTTAAAATGGAAATGAGAACCTTGATATGGGAGGTCAAAAAGAGGCAAGTGAGAACCATGAAACGGGATGAAGGGAGTACTTATTACTGGTTTCGTGAGCATTCACTGTGAAACACTTTAAAATAAATATACATCCAGGAGTTCTAGGGCAATACATAGGATAATTTCTTGTACTCTCTGCATTAGTAATTTTGCAATTATACTCATTGGTCAGAATGCTGTCTAATGATGCTTCTTCTCCTAGCAGTTAACCAGTCCAATACACACACATCTCATGTTTCACTTCAGCCGACTCCAAATTACAGATAAGGCCTTGCACTAAATCCTTTGGAGTAGCATTTGGTAAACTTAAAATGTTTTTGGAACGTATCAGCAAATCATTGAAGTACCCAAGTATACGTCCTCAAATGCAGTTCTCTTAAAATTATTTAATACATAGTATATTTATCATTTATATTTTTTCAATTTTTTTTACATTTTCATATTTGTAGAAACGCTAAGTACCTGTAATTTGCGTAGTATATATTTTGAAGAGTGGATTGTCACTTTCCTATTCTCTTCAATTTCAATGCTTTTTAATGTGCTCATTTTTTTATTTTCCCTAATAAGAGGCTCAACCCCATTTTCTGAACTTAAAATGGATCCTATATATTATTACTTTATTTGTCTAACTGCCTGAAGACTGGAATGTGTAACCTAAACAGAAGAGAAGTAGAAAAATTTACCTAATATAGAAAATTAAAATATGTAGTAGCAATCTACCTGGCATAGGTAGGGGCGGAAATCTCTTGGGTTCTCTTGAATAAGATTTTTTAATTTCTCCAAAGCCTCCTGTAGTTCTCCCTGAAACAAGAATGATCAAAACATAAGAAAACCCAAATATAAAATGCTTAACCCCACATTTGTCTTATTTTGCGCACCAGTTTTATTTTCAGTGGTCTACTATTTCATAATCATGGTATTATTACCTTTATTACATGCATCTGTGCAATCAATATCTTTATATTTCTTTCCTCATTGACTCTCTTTTCTCGACAAGCAACTTCAAGAGCACCATTCAGCATCTGAAATACAGCAGGGCCTTCCTGGTTCTTGTGCATAACCATTGCTAGACCCTGCAGCAGAAAATAGAGTAAAACACCAAAAACTAGGTAGTTGTAAGAAAGATTAAGAGCCCTTTGGTAACACTGAAATTGGCGGAATGGGCTGGTTTTGCTGAAAATTATGAAATTCTGGCTCAAGTGGTAGGATTGGCTGATTATGCTGATTTATGGGGGAAAAATATTTAAATTATTTTTTAATAAAATAAAGAAAAAATTATATGAAAAATAACTAAAATGATCTTCTACAGTAACTTCATCCAATACAATACAGTCAAAAAAGTAACTCCAACCTTACTTTTTTTTATTATTACACAATTCAACGTGTGGAATCAAAAGTTACATATTTGGTGAAAAAGTTGGCTGATAAGCCCGATAAGCCGAAAAACGAGGTTACCAAACAGGCTCTAAAAAATAACAACAAAGTCTTAAGCTGGAAAACACCATCAATTAGATTCCAAGTTGTGAAAGTTCATATAGGCAGGACCATTGTTTAAGGACTCAACCATTAGTTAAAGAGCTAAGAGGAAACTTAACAGACCTCAAGCTTCCCTCAAAGAAGTTGTAATTGCAATGATTGGTACTGATATATGTAGCTAACATTTGGTCAAATAGTTGTATTGTGCGAGTCCTAGTTTGAGAGGATATCAAAAGCCCACTACTGATTAAGAAAAGAATCCAAATGTTATCTGGATTGCATGATTATTCCAAGATTATCAAGAATGTTTAAAGGACAGGTATTCTATCATATACACATCATTCAATAAAGAGTGCACACTGAATTCGTATTGAAATGGGAAAATAGAGTTACAAGTTCGAAGTGTTTTTTTGTTGCATGTACATGTTCATAGAATATGCTTGATCATAGACAGAACTATGAAAAGAAGTTTCTTCAGGACACATCAGTGTACAATGAAAATGGCAATCAAGTAATCAACCTCAAGTTAATGTAATTTTTTGCAAGAAAAAGGAAAGAACAATAAGTTTCACAGACAAAATAGGATTATAAACAAAAAATCATATATGTGTTCTTACTTTGCTATAAGAACACATGTTTCGCTTATATAGTTACATACATATAAAATCCTAAATCCCTTATAACACAGTACTAAATTTACTTAAAAGGGCCAATGCACTTTTTTTCTACCAAATCAAATGTTCATGCAAAAACAGCACAGAGCACAGCCAGGCATGTAAATCAGCATAGAGATTAAAGAAGCATACGTGCAATGCTCTAAGTGATAAAGGGTTTTGCTTTAATATTTCCTTGAACAATCTCTTCGCCTTGCTTAATTGCCCCATAATCTCATAGCATAAAGCCTGCAACAGTCTCCACTCAATTTCCCTAGGTTGAGCCTCAATCAACATCTCCACGTACTTGACGGCCTCCTTAGTCTTCCCTTTCTTCATCGTTATATTAATGATCATCTTCAAAGCCTCAACATTTCTAGGGTCCTTCTCCAGCAAATTCAAATACAATGTCTCCTCGGCTTCACCAACCTGGGCCCCCGTATTTTCCTCATCGGCCTCAACCCCACTACTACTTTGTTGAATCGGCTGCGCCACTGCCGGCCTGGCCTTTAACCCCCCCAATAAAATAAATGACCCGAATATGAAAATCGCCAATTTCTCGCTGAGAAGCTTGGAAATCCTCTCTTTAGGAGTTAACGAACAGTTTCCCAGTGCGGGTTTTGATGTGGGCAATGCTGAGGGGTGAAGCTCGGGTCGGATGCGGAGGATTTCAGGGCTGCGGGCTGAGTTCAGGGAGAAGAGTTTCAGAGAATTTCGGGAAACAGTGGAGGAAAAACTTCGACTTTGGTTTGGGTTGGAATGAAGATAGAGAGGCCACCGGGAGACAGAGGAAGAACACATTTCGTCAATTTGAATATCGAAGTAGAATACGATGGATTTAAAACTTAAAGTGAGTCCAGCTTCCTGTAGAGGACAATTTGACCACCATTTTAACAAAATATAAAGAGTTATCCGTATCACGGACATTTTAGACCTGAATTTTTCATAAAGTGTCTGTGATACAGATATTTTTTTATTTTTGTCTGTGTGAAAATCGGTTTTCTTCGTAAAAAGACCCTCAATATGTCTGTGTAGCCGATCAAATTGTCTGTACACAGACAATTTGACAGGCCTGTAACTCAGCGTGTAAAACTTGGTGATAGAGTATATAGACTCGGACCCCCGGGTCTCACGACTATTGGGCCCGGACAACGGCCCACACACATCTTACGGATATCATTTGTATTATTGTACTGCTTATATGTCATTTGTATGTAACTATGTACTAGATTAGTCTTTTATGTAGTTGGGCTACCGGGCCCATATTAGCGGCCCGGCCCATTATTTCCCTATTTATACTCCTCTTGGAGCCATTTGTAACCCTAGAACATAAGTCTAAATTTCACAATTCATTCATACACCACTATCTTCCTCTCTACATGCTCAAATCTCTCCCATTTTATATATACTTGGATACCTATAATCCATCAATGGTGCTCTCGTTGAGAGATTAGAGCAAAATCAAGTGAGAATTCCTCCCAAAACATACAAAAAATTCATTCCAATCACAAAAAATCAACCAAAAAGTGTTCTGAAAAAAAAGGAAAAGCAAAGAATGAAAAAAAAAAAAACTGGAGTTTGGGATCTGCGGATTTCCCAGAGCTAAGCCGGAGACCCATTCTCGTTACCACCATCTCATCCGGCTGACCGGAATCCCAGATCTGGGAAAGGCGAGCGAGCATTCAATTTCTGCTCGTTGTTGGGACTAGAGCTTATGACCTCCGCCATTAATGGCTAGTGGGAAGAAAAACCGAGCTCAAACCCGTCCCCAGCGTCCCAGACCAGATGCCTCTGCTACCATTAATGGCGCCCATCCCTCGTCCGCGACCAGCGGTGACGTTGCGATAGACGTGCAAGCTCCGCCGCAGGGGTCATCTCTTCCTCACTGTTACCTTCACTCTGCCACTGGGGCCGCCTGAGGAGCGCACGGAACCCACCAAGGGACGCATCAGTCTCTACTGGAGGAAGCTTCCCCGCTAGTACGTCTGAGCCTCGGCGTCATCTTCCCCAGTAGCCGTGGACAGGACGTCTCCCTTGGATGATCTACTGTAGCGGGGGACTCCAGCGTGCTACTTGGGTCTCAATCGACGTCCACTTTAAAGAGGCTCCTCGGCGTGCTACTTGGGTCTCAGCCGCAGAAGGCTTCCCACTTGCCACATGTAGAGGGGGAAAGTTTTTGCACCACATTATTTGTGGGCTAGGTCAAAATTGGTCAAAAAGGGTGGTGGGCCTCCTCAACAACAAGCCATGGATCCACATTCTATATGGATCTGTTATTTCAGCCCAATATTCTGGTCCAAATATGAGCTAAGTACCCAAGCAACCTAATACTCCTACTTATACACTAAATGTTTATTAAATGATAATAGTAAAATTATTACTATTATTAATTATATTATTTCCACCATCATTATGGCGGGTTAAAAACCCCCGAGGTGGTGAAGACCATTATGACGGATTAAAATTTCACGAGGTCGCTAATGATGCATCATTATTGGTGTTATTATTTTTATCACCACCGTTAAATCGGGTTTAAAAAAATCCCCAAAGTTGTGAACCCGAGCTCTGGTTTACCGAACATCTTTATTTGATGATTCGAATTATATTTAGGTCCATCGACCTACCCTAGCCACCTTTATTTGGTGACTCGGACATCTAAAAATGAGAGCCGCTGCCGGCCGCATACGGCATTATGCCTAAAAGCGGTAAACGGTACACCTCGTTCTCCGAGACGCTAATCGCGTCGCCCAAAAGCCGTTGCCATGAACAACGCACCTATTGTATTCCGCTTATTTTTTGGAAATGTAAATAGAAGATACCACGTGTCGTATCAGCAGCCTTCGAGCGAAAGGCTCAGGTCTGCTCCACTTTGTATTTTGTATCAGCGAAAGGTTCAGGCCTAGCTGAGAGAGCACATCGTCCTGGCCCCGTAAGCCTAGAGTGAAACGCTCAGGTATGGCCGACGATGTCCCCAGGACGAGGGGCCCGCAAACGGCCCGCGTCTTGAAACGGGAAGTTCACCGCGTCGTCCACGCGCCTGATCGCAGGACGACAGGCCTGAAATCATGGCCGAGGTGACAAAATCCCAAAACTCAGGGTTGGGCAACGGCAGCCGTTGGAAACCAACCAAAAGTCTAGCCCGCGTCATAAATAGGCGACGGGACCCCCCTGAGATCACGGACGTTATAAACGAAGTCCGAACCGACCGAAGGACGAGCACACCCTTCGGCCGAAGCCTGAAAGAAGGATACTCCCCGAAATAGGGAACGGAAACGGAAATAAAAAAAAAGAAAAGGAAAAAGAAAAAATAAAAGAGGGAAGCCGAGGACCGCGCGCACTCGCCGGCCTCGAGCAACAAAAAATGAAATCCCCACAACAATACTAAGTACATATCAGGCAAATACTACACATTATGGACGAAGCAAGACCATACATGCGGATTAGACGAGCGCCCAGCGCCGTCCATCATCTCAGACGAGCGTCCAGCGCCGTCCATCATTTTCAGACGAGCGCCCAGCGCCGTCCCTCATTTTAGACGAGCGCCCAGCGCCGTCCCTCATTTCAGAAAAGCGCCCAGCGCCGTCCATCATTTCAGACGAGCGCCCAGCGCCGTCCATCATCTCAGACGAGCGCCCAGCGCCGTCCATCATCTTAGACGAGCGCCCAGCGCCGTCCATCATCTTAGACGAGCGCCCAGCGCCGTCCTCCATTTGTAGACGAGCGCCCAGCGCCGTCCCTCATTTTCAGACGAGCGCCCAGCGCCGTCCTTCATTCTTAGACGAGCGCCCAGCGCCGTCCCTCATCTTAGACGAGCGCCCAGCGACGTCCTTCATTTGTTAGACGAGCGCCCAGCGCCGTCCCTCATTTCAGACGAGCGCCCAGTGCCGTCCATCATTTCGGACGAGCACCCAACGCCGTCCATCATCTCAGACGAGCGCCCAGCGCCGTCCCTCATCTTAGACGAGCGCCCAGCGACGTCCTTCATTTGTTAGACGAGCGCCCAGCGCCGTCCCTCATTTTCAGACGAGCGCCCAGCGCCGTCCATCATCTCAGACGAGCGCCCAGCGCCGTCCCTCATCTCAGACGAGCGCCCAGCGCCGTCCCTCATCTCCGGACCAGCTCCACCGTCCTACAGGTTCAGTCCGGCGCCAACGCCTTGCCACGTTATCATATTATAGGATCGGCTCCTCATCATCGTTGTCCTCACATCACGACCGGCCCCTCAGCCTCGGCGTGATCATTTATCTCAAGACCGGCTTCCTCAGCGCCGCGAGTCTTGAGCCAGCGATCGGGCTCACCATCCCTTCCTGGATAGTGACCATCGCCTTTATATGACGATCAACTTCATCAGCGCCTCGTCATCATATTATAGGACCGGCTCCTCATCACCGTTGTCCTCACATCACGGCCGGCCCCTCGGCCTCGGCGTGATCATCTATCTCAAGACCGGCTTCCTCAGCGCCACGAGTCTTGAGCCAGCGATCGGGCTCGCCATCCCTTCCCGGATGGTGACCGTCGCCTCTATATGACGATCGGCTTCACCATCGCCTCGTCATCATTATTTGGACCGACTCCTCATCGTCGTCGTCCTCATATCACGGCCGGCCCCTCGGCCTCGGCGTGATCATTTATCTCAAGACCGGCTTCCTCAGCGTTGTGAGTCTTGAGCCAGCGATCGGGCTCGCCATCCCTTCCCGGATGGTGATCGTCGCCTCTATATGACGATCGACTTCACCATCGCCCCGTCATCATTATTTGGACCGACTCCTCATCGTCGTCGTCCTCACATCACGACCGGCCCCTCGGCCTCGGCGTGATCATCTATCTCAAGACCGGCTTCCCCAGCGCCGCGAGTCTTGAGCTAGCGATCGGGCTCGCCATCCCTTCCCGGATGGTGACCATCGCCTTTATATGACGATCGGCTTCATCAGTGCCTTCGTCCTCATATCACGACCGGCCCCCTCGGCCTCGACGTGATTATTTATCTCGAGACCGGTCTTAGTCATCCCTTCCCGGATGGCGACCGTTGCATGGATCTTCGAACCGGCCCCTCAGTGCCTTTGTCCTCATATCACGACCGGCCCCCTCGGCCTCGACGTGATTATTTATCTCGAGACCGGTCTTAGTCTTTCCTTTATCGAATGACGACCGTTGCATGGATTTTTGGACCGGCCCCTCATCACCGTCGTCCTCACATCATGCCTGGCCCCTCGGCCTCGGCGTGATTATCTATCTCAAGACCGGCTTCCTCAGCGCCGAGAGTCTTGACCTGGCGATCGGGCTCACCATCCCTTCCTGGATGGCGACCGTCGCCTTTATATGACGATTGGCCCATCATGGCCTCGTCATCATTTATTGGAACGGCTCATCATCGCCGTCATGCTCACATCGCGGCAGACCCCTCGGTCTCAACGCGATCTTGAGCTAGCGACTGGGCTCACCATCCCTTCCTGGATAGTGACCATCGCCTCTATATGACGGCCGACTCATCATTGCCTCGTCATCATATTTCGGATTGGCTCTTTTCATCGCCATCCGCGCATCACGACCGGCCCCTCGGCCTCGGCGTGACTATCTATCTCAAGACCGGCTTCCTCAGCGCCGAGAGTCTTGAGCTAGCGATCGGGCTCGCCATGCCTTCCTGGATGGTGACCATCGCCCTTGTATGACGATTGGCATCATTCTTGCCTCGTCATCAGATCATCGGATCGGCTCATCATCTCCGTCCGCACATCACGATCGGCCCCTCGGCCTCGGCGTGATTATCTATCCCCAAGACCGGTCTCAGTCATTCCTTCATCGGATGGCGACCGCTGCTTGGACTTTTGGATCAGCCTCATAGTGCTGACGACCTCGCATCACGATTGGCCCCTCGGCCACGACGTCACACCCTATCCCAACACCGGCTTCATCAGCGCCGAGTGTGTTGGGATTGCGATCAGGCTCGCCATCCCCTCCTGGATGGCGACTATCGCCTCTATATGACGATCGGCTCCATCATCGCCTCGTCATCATATTTCGGACTGGCTCCTCATCATTGTCATCCGCACATCGCGATCAACCTCTCGGCCGCGACGTGATTATTTATCTCAAGACCGGCTCCCAGCGCCGAAGTCTTGTTATAGCGATTGGGCTCGCCATCCCTTCCCGGACGGCGACCGTCGCCCCTATATGACGCACGGCTCATCATCGCCTCGTCCTCACATTTAGACCGGCCCCAGCGCCGAAGTCCTTATCTAGCGACCAGGCTCGCCATTCCCTTCCTGGATGGTGACCGTCGCCTTCATATGACGCATGGCTTATCATCGCCTCGTCCCCATATTCGGACCGGCTCACCAGCGCCATCGTCCCCATATTCGGACCGGTCCGTCAGCGCGGTCGTCCTCATATTCGGACCGACTCATCAGCGTCGTCGTCCTCATATTCAGACAGGCATCCACCGCCTCGTCCCCCTATTCAGATATAGCGAACATCTTGCGGTCTCCGGACGAAAGGCTAAAGGAGCCCAGAGTTCAGCCATATATCGCTCCGTCATCTGTATTTGATGACGCGAAGCTCATTTGCAGGCCCATCGGCCATATATCGCTCTGTCATCTTTACTTGATGATGAAGAGCTCATTTGTAGGCCCATCGGCCATATATCGCTCTGTCATCTTTATTTAATGACGAAGAGCTCAGTTGCAGGCCCATCGGGCATATATCGCCTCGTCATCTTTATTTGATGACGCGAAGCTCATTTACAGGCCCATCGGCCATATCTCGCTCCGTCATCTTTATTTGATGACATGGCGCTCGCATATAGGCCTCTGAGCCATACATCACCCCGTCATCTTTATTTGATGATGTGGGGCTCTCATGTAGGCCTCTCGGCCATACGTCGCCCCGTCATCTTTATTTGATGACGTGGAGCTCTCATATAGGCCTCTCTGGGCCATACATCACCTTGTCATCTTTATTTGATGGCGTGGAGCTCTTATGCAGGCCCCTCGGCCGCACCATCACCCCGTCGTCTTTATTTGACAATTGTATTAATGCCAATTAAATTAATATAAGCAGACAACATGAGAAAGATCAGATATACGGAACTCAAGATTGATTGGCAAGATACAAACTCCTATAATATATTAACCTTCACAAAAATGTATGGGTAAGAATGGTTAATTAATAACGGATTATTAGCTAAATATCCTCACTATCATCAAATTCAAAAATCTATCCTATACTTTCATTTTTATTAAAAAAAGACTCGAACTTTAACTTTTCTCACAATTACACGTTCAATGGATTAATTAGTAAAACTTCAGAACAAAATTATATTTATTTTTTACACTTTTCACTCTTTCTAGTTTTAAGTTTACAAACATGTACTGCTTATATCTTATTGGAATTGATAAAAATGTATAATTTAAAAAACAAAAAAGAAAAGCATAATTGTTGAAAAAGATGAAGTTTGAGTATTTTTTGATAAAAATGAAAGAATAAGATAGATTTGTGAATTTGATGATAGTTTCGGATAAATAAGCTAATGATCTATTAATAAATGGTCCTTTTTAAGAGCCGGGACAACTTATCCTTGAATGAAATGCGTAAGACATGATATCTATCATTCATTTCATGAGAAGAAACTTACGTGCAACTAACATATAATAGGCGTGCTTGCATTATATACATGTACATTGTTGCACGCAACCAGCCTGTATACAATACCATTTACAAGTCCCAAATACTTCGAAAGTTCAAATCGATCGATCTCCATATATATATATATATATATATATATATATATATTTATGATAAATCCAAACTAATAAAAAGGTAACAGTATGCATAGATATGAGAGCAATATCATATAATCCATAAAAAATAAGATGAGGATGAGTTTGGTGAGAGAGAAACTAGAGTGGTCATGGAGTGGAGTGGGCTTTTCGTGGTTTGGATTAGGAGTAGTTTTGGCAATTATCGTCAGTTGCACGGCCACCCAAACACCGAAAAATGGTTCGACTACCCCTGATGCCGCAAGCATTTGTGCCAATGCCATTTTAATCTACGGTTACCAATGTCAGGAATACTTGGTATGTAATACGAATTAAATTATATTACCCCCTCCAATCTAACATATTTTTTGAAAGATGTGTTGTTTGAGCCTTGTAGTATAAGGTTATGTCTTCCATGAGTCATGTAACTTTACTCACTTCTAAATCATGTCCTGTAACAAATTATCCACACACATTAAGAATTTTCTACCCAGAATGTACATTTTTTGTCAAAAAAATAAAAGACCCAGAAAGTCATGGTCGACGTCCAATTTTTTCACCTGAAAAGTACTTAATATGATCAAATTTATTAGTTACATGACTAGATCTGCAAGTGAGTAAAGTTGTAGTATTAAAAATAGACACATGCATAAATGCGGGTCCAAATCGACAATTTTCTCAAAAGTTTCAAATAGTTAAAAATTTATTTGGAAAAGGTATAAACTAATTTGAATAGTTTTTAGAACAAACTGAAAATGATTTTGATGATGAGCACATTAACATGCCAATTAAGGAGTGTAGTAGTGACCTAATTTGTGATGAGGAGTGCCGTATAAAAAAATGGATCAAATTTTTTCGATGTGAATAGTACCCGTCGCAAGTCTGACATGTACTCTTTAGTAAGCATGTTGACATGTTCCATACGATTTTTCTATTTGAGTCACCATGATATTGCGAAAACAAAGGAGTCTAAATTGCAATTTTTGTAAAAGTTTGAGGATGATAACAATTTTGAAAAAGTAAAAATTACCTTAAATGTCGATAAAAGGGTGAAAGTAAAATGATATAGTGATAGTAAACTTGTACGCGTAAATATGAATTTTGATTTCAGATAAACACTGGTGACGGGTACATATTGAGTGTGCAAAGAATACCCATGGGTCGCTCAGGTGGAGAAGGACCTCGCCCTCCGGTGTTGTTGCAACATGGACTTCTTTTAGTATGTGCTCGCATAGTCCCATTATATACTCATACTTTTTCTTAATTTTTTATGCATTTCACCACTTAATTAGAGTTCATCACCAAGTATCTTATTTATTACTATGTATTTGGAAATATATGAATCATCTTTAATTTTCATTATGTATAATTGTTTAAACTACTCATAATGTGAAATAGTCGAGAAGAACTTTTACACACCAATTCTCTTATTCTATTATGTGTTTTAACTGTTACGAATAGGTTTCATCCTAAAATAATTAATATGTGTTAATTCTTATGTTATAAGTGGTCGCAACTTATATATTGTTTTGTATGTTACTATCTATATAGGATGGACAACTCAATGTATCCATAATAGGATGCCTCGTTGGAGTAGAACAAATTTAAAGTCTGCATGAATTTTGTTGATCTGTATGGATATTGTTGATCTTTATTAGGATCTAATTGTTCGATGCTATTTAGTGACCCTAATTAATACTAGTACCATACGAGTGAGACATAGTTCATACGAAAAATCAACCCGATAAGAATAATAATCCAAAAGTTTAGAGGTTGATTTGTATATGATCATGATAAGATAGTTGATAGTTTAACATTATCTACAAGTTTTGAAGAGAAAAGAGCTTTTAAACTCGGTGTAATATGTGTAAAATTTGAGTATCAAATTTAAGAAAAATAGACAATCTAATTGTATACAAAGTATATATTGATTAAATATATGCAGGATGGGAGGTCATGGTTCTATAACAAGCCAGAAGAAAATCTCCCAATGATTCTGGCAGATAAAGGTTATGATGTGTGGATCTCAAACACTAGGGGAACCGAATATAGCAGAAGACATCTCTACCTTGATCCCAAACAAAAGGTACTAAACATGAAAAATGATGAAATAACATATGACATAAAACAATTTTTCAATAAAGATATGTCTACATTTGTTTGGTATACTTTGGAGCAGCATTGATAGGTGACAAGTATTTATTTAATGGTGAAAAGATAGATAAATTTTCATCATCTTATAAAATTTGAACACATTATAATGCAATTTAAAAAGGTATTAAGCATGTTTCTTTCAGAGGAAATAATACAAACTATAACATCGAACATTTAATTCTTAAATTAAATGTTTTATTAAAATTCAGAAATTTCAAATCAATTTTACGGCGTCAAACATATACTCCCTCCGTTTCTGAAACAAGTTCCACCTTTCCTTTTCGGGCAGATTCAAAATTAAGTTCCACTTTCAAACATTTCCTTATTATCTACATCAAAACAGTGACAAACAGTGTTCAAACAGTGCCAAACAGTGCACTCCACAGTAAAGTCAAATTTATTTTCTTAATATGTGTGAAGTCAAATGTGGAACTTGTTTAGGAATCGGAGGGAGTAATAAGTAACAAGTAATAAGAATAATATTATTCTCGTATTCTTTAATCATAGGGATATTGGTACTGGACATGGGACCATTTGGCGGAATACGAAGTCCCAGCTGTTATAAACTTTGTTTACAAAACAACGGGCCAGAAAGTCCATTACATAGGACATGCACTGGTACGTATTACATTACATACTATTCTATATAATAATACCCTTCTTCCTATTTAACTATCGTAAACCTTTTATTATGAATAAAAAATATTAATTGTTATAGTTATAATCATGTTCGTTAGATTCACATCATAAATATATGATTTTATTGAGTAAATATTCCAAGAGATATGGGGATATTTATGCAAATACTGATAAATTAATCAATTAATTTTGTAATGTGGTCCGCTCATGTATACACAATGTATAATATTATGAAACTCAATATCATGGTACGTTACCGTGTGCATGGTATTCTGTTACACTGGAATAATTTGTAAATAAGGTTATGTTTTCTTTAACTTTGTATAAAATTATTTGTATAATAGATGTTATGTTTTTGTATATTTGATGTTGTTAATGGTTTCAATATGTATATATATATATATATATATATATATATATATATATATATATATATATATATATATAGAGAGAGAGAGAGAGAGAGAGAGAGAGTCATTCTCCCATCCAGCAGCCTTCCGACCGAACACCGCCGTTTGGGGTGGTTCCCGGTGGAATTATTCGTTTCAATTTTTTGAGCATGTTCCTCATCAAGTATAGTTTATCCATACCAAATTTCAGCTTAAAATTCGATCCGGAAGGCAGTCAAATAATTTGTTGAAGTTAACTGCGCAAAATTGTACATAGAAAAATGTAGTCAACTTCAAAAAATGATTTGAATGCCTTCCCGAACGCATTTTGAGCTTAAATTTTTTGTGGATAACGTAGAGTTAATGAAAACATACCATAAAAAGTTCATCAACAAATTCGACCTGAAACCTCCCCAAACGGCAGTGTTCGGACGATGTTCGGACCGGGGGCTACTGGACCTGAGAATTTCTCTCTCTCTCTCTCTATATATATATATATATATATATACGTAGTATATAGGTTTTGGTTCAAATAAGAATATGATCTTAGGAGAGAAATGAGAATGAATCTGGACCATTATATTTGCTTTAAGTGAAATTCAGTGTGCATTCGATAAAACTGTAATGTGCATTATGTGAAATTGAAATGTGCAGCACAAATGCTACGATATAGTGATATTATGTGAAGCTGAATTGTGCATTAGGTGAAATTCAAAATGTGCAGAATAAAAATTACGATGTGATGTTATTTTTGTACCTTTTATTGCGCACATTTCAGTTTCACCTAATGCACACTTGAGTTTAAATTTTTATTCTGCACATTTCAATATCATATAATGCACATTTCAGCTTCACCAAATGCACATTTCATATATATATATATATATATATGTGTGTGTGTGTGTGTGTGTGTGTGTATGTATGTATGTATGTATGTATGTGTGTATGTATGTATGTATGTGTGTATGTATGTATGTATGTATGTATGTATGTATGTATGTATGTATGTCTGTATGTATGTATGTATGTATGTATGTATGTCTGTATGTATGTATGTATGTATGTATGTATGTATGTATGTATGTATGTATGTATGTATGTATGTATGTATGTATGTATGTATGTATGTATGTATGCGTGTGTGTATGTGTGTATGCGTGTATGCATGCGTGTATGCATGTATGCATGTATGGATGTAGGTATGTATGTATGTATGTATGTATGTATGTATGTATGTATGTATGTATGTATGTATGTATGTTGTATGTATGTATCTATATATATATATATATATATATATAGGGGTGAGATCACATACAAACCATGCTTAACTTACTAACCTACAAACTCAATAATATGCAACACTTTGAACTTTAATATGCAGTACAAATAATGTAAAGATGCACTCTTTGAATTTCAATATGCAATACAAATAATGTAAACATGAAATTGCTATTTTATGGCTTGAATAATATGAAACACTTTGAACTTCAATGTGCAATACAAATAATGCAAAGATGATTTGAATGGGAGGACTAGTTTGTATGTGATCTCACCCCTGCATCTTTACATTATTTTAACTGCATATTGAAGTTCAAAGTTATGCATATTATGGAGTTTTTAGGTTAGTATTTTAAGCATGGTTTGTATTTGATCTCTGATATATATATATATATATATATATATATATATATATATATATATATATATATATATATATATATATATATATATATATATATATATATATATATATATATATATATATATATATATATATATATATATCATGAAATAAGAGCAAGGCTTATTGTGAGAACGTGAGAATGCCGCATTTATCTCAACGTGATGCACAATGAAGCCCGTCTATCGCACTTTTTCACGTTTTCATAATATTTACCAAAATGCCACATTGTTTATTTAATATGGGTTTAATTTGAGCAAATTTAAAAGGGTTTTTTACAAAAGTATTACTAAAATAAAATGTATTTACACAAATATGACTATTAGTTAAAAGGGAGTACAATGTAGTGTCACAGTAACTTAAGTTTAAAAATTGTACAAAAGTTACTATAATCTCATTGCTACTTTAGTCAATAATCATATTTTTGTAAACAGACTTCATCTTAGTCATAATTATGTAATTATTTCAATTTATAATGTGCAACAAAAGAGCTCCGTTGTGCACCACATTGATTCAAATGTGAGTGTTCTCACGTTAAGCATCGTTCTCATTGAAACCGTACTCTATATATATACACATATATGGATCAAATACAAACACCTCCTAATTTACAAACTACAAAATCATCGTAATCATCCGATGAGTTGATCTCAAGGCCATAGAGGCATTGTGGCATTTTTGTAATGAAACCAATTTTTTTAGGATATAACTCTTTGAACGTTAACATGCACCTGTTATTTCATGACAAAATAGTATGCAATACATTGAACCTCAATATGCAATACACAGAGTTTAAAGATGCACCGTAAAAACGTTTGCACAATATACACAGTTTGGTCATGATCTGCCCCATATATAGAGGGCAGATCATATCAGGCTGGTCTAATGGGAACCACCGTCAGGCCGAGGCCATTTGGGGCCTTTGCTTGTGGATTTTTTTAATAAAATTTTGTGAACATGTTTTTCATCAAACCTAGTTTATGCCCACCGAATCTCAAATAAAAATTCAATCGGGAAGGGAAATAAATAAATTCGTTACAAAAAATGCGCTTTATATATATAAATAATGCAGTATTTGTAAAGAATTTATTTAACTTCCTTCCTGGTTGAATTGTAATCTGAAATTTGGTGGACATAAACTAGAGTTGATGAAGAACATGCTCAAAACAATTCATCAAACAATTCCATCGGTAAGGGCCCCAATATGCCTCGATCGGATGATACATATATAGAATTAGGTTCAAATGAGAAAATGATCTTAAAAGAGAAATGAGAATGAAGCTAGACCGTTAGATTTTATTCTGTGAAATTGAATGTGGAATAGGTGAAATAAAAATGTGCATTATGTGAAATTTAAATGTGTAGCACAAAAGGTATGACACAATGACATTATATGAAGCTAAATTGTGCATTAGGTGAAACTGAAATGTACAGAATAAAAGCTACGATGCAGTGGCATTTTTGTGCCTTTTATTTTGTACATTTTAATTTCACCTAATTGACATTTCGGTTTAACTCAATGCACAATTCAATTTTGTATCATACAATCCAACAGTCCAGATTCATTCTCACTTCTCTCTTGGGAGTCCTTTCTCTCTGGAACCTCTCTCTCTCTCTCTCTCTCTATATATATATATATATATATATATATATATATATATATGTGTGTGTGTGTGTGTGTGTGTGTGTGTGTGTGTGTGTGTGTGTGTACACACACACACACATTTATTAAAGATCAAATGAGAACTTATTGTCCATATAAAGACCATATGTGTATTATACATATGGGGAGCATTATACATATGGACAACTTTAGGCATTTACCTTGTACACACACACATACAACTTATACAAAAACTTTTTGACCTTGCCTGCCATCTACCTTGTACAAACACTGTTTTAAGGCTTTAGGCATTTAAAAGGTCAAAAAGGTATGTTTAGAAAACAAAAACATCCCACTAATTGATAATAATGGTGCAATACTTCCCACTAATCAATTAATCATCCAAATATTAACAATTTATACAAGGTAGATGGCAGGCAAGGTAACCCATGGATTGATGATAGCCATAAATTGAAAAACAACTTACCTTTTCGTAATTAATAATTAATGTTAGCTTCATATTGATGAACTCTTCATATAACTCCCAAAGTGGCCAATTATAGTTGATTAGCTGAGAATCCGTTGCAATCCACCCCCTAATTTGAAGCTTATCCTCAAGCTAGAAGTTTCAATTCAAAGGAAGTTCAGGATACTTCTTGATGAAGTCTTCATATAACTCCCAAATGGCATCTTCAGAGTTTATACTAGTTGCCCCTAGAAGTTTAATACTCCCTCCTCCGTCCCTTAAAGGTTTGCCAAGTTTTAGCGACACGTAGAATAATAACGTAAAAACTGTGTGGTAGAGATTTGTCCAGAGGAGAGAGAAATAACACGAGCCACAAATTGATAGGTTAGAAGAGAAAGTGTCAATGTTTTTTAGACAATCAAAAAAGGAAAGTTGGCAAATTTATAAGGGGCAGAGGGTGTATATGTGAGCAGTGCATGTCAAGATTACAAAATATGCATTATATAACACAATATATATTAAGATTACGAGATGTGCATCATATAATCGTAACGTCTGCATAAGTTACTTTAGAAACTCATATTTATAAAATATGTTGATGTTTCGTTTCAGAAGTTCATCTATTGCATTTTAGTAAGATGACAAGTGCATTTAGAAATTCATATCCTACATCTTGTCATTAAGGCATTTGCATCCTAAACTCAACTAACATGCACACGAGAAGTAGACATACGTGTGAACTGCATATTAAGGTTGTGAGATGTGCATTGTATAATTATAACGTCTGCATATGATAATATTTGTGAAAGAAATTCTTTTATTTGCGAAATCAATCACTTTATAATTATAACATCTGCATATTAATTAGTTGTGCATATGTTGCACTTTTAGTCACATTATATGATCATTAATTATCTATATATTGATCGTCATATTGAGCCAATTAATTTATTACGTTGCACTTTGGAAGTCCATATGTTGCATTTCATCACTATGACATGTGCATACATTCTATATTCATTTTCAAAGTTCATATGTTGCATGGTATCATCATCACATGTGTATTTTAAGAAGTTTATATATTGTATTTCAGTAAGATGACATGTGCATCTTATGAGACCATGTGATGCATCTCATCATTACGACATCTGCATTCTAAACTCAATTGGCATGCATACGAAATTCATGAGGTTTAGACGACAAGATGAATAATATATGAGAAAAATATTCTAAATGACAAAAGTACTACTATATTTTACATATTAAAAGCTATACGAATTTCACATAAGCACGAAATTGTGTGAATTGGCATGAAAATGGAAATCGTTTCCTAAACATCGGAATATTCAAAGTATTTTCTACGTGGACACCGGATTCCATGGTAACAAAGATGACTACCTCATTATTTGAGTATACTCATATGACAATGCACTGATTTGAGAAGGAGATAACCATGTGAAGAGTTTATTAAAAAGGGAGTTCATCAAAATCACAAGAACTTTGCATAAACACGGAATTATTGAATTGATATGAAAATCAAAACAAAAAACAAAAAAAAACTAGCAGATCAATTCAACCGTATGTTGGAATCCATGGCGTTCGAGAACTAATGTTCTCCCTATGTGTGCGGAATCCATGGTGTTCAATTAGAAAAACACTAATCATATTCTATTAAATTTGAGGTGAAGATTGAGATGAAGATGGAGATGGAGATGAAAAGAAGCTTTGATATCCTGGAGTAATCACATATTGATGGACGAACCACGATCGATCAAAAAACTGGAATGAAAGAAGAAACAAAAAATAGGTGGTTAGTTATGGGAATGGAGAAGGGGCGTGTTGATGGTGAACGTGGTAGGAGAAAAGGAAGTAACAGATGCAATCAGTTATGAATAGCTTGGGTGATTTTTTCCCAAAAATAATAAACATAAAAGACCAATAAACCCCTCAATTAAGGAATCAGCTGCACGGTAATCTAATTAAATTGGAAAGCTATGATTAGTTTGTAGGTTAGTAAATTAAGCCTAGTTTGTATTCGATCTCTAATCTACACACACACACACATAATGGATCAAATACAAACACCTCCTAATTTACAGACTACAAACTTATCTTAGCCATCTGATTAGTTGATTTAAATGATATAGATGCACGGTGACATTTTGTAATAAAACCAAACTAGTTTAGGATGCAACTCTTTGAACGTTAATATGTTATTTCATGGCAGAATAATATGTAATATTTTGAACCTCAATATGCAATACAAAGAGTTTAAAGATTCATCATACAAATGTTTGCACGATGAACACAGTTTGTACCCGATGCCCCCCCCCCCCCCCCCCCTGACTATATATACATAAGCAATGCGGAAGAGATATTAAATAACAAAATTTATATTTGATGGAAATATGACATGTTACAATACATATGATATTACAAATATTTTAAAGCATGTAATTAATTTGTAAGCGTTATATTGTTTATTGTGATTGATGTAAACAACTTTATAAAAATTTAAATTATGTGTGAAAATATTTAATTGCGATGTAGGGGTAGAGATAGGGGCCTTGATGGGCCCCGAGCCACCTCAAATTTGAAGAAACTTGTATTTCATATGTAAAATAATTATGTGTAAGTATTTATCTGAGATTTCTTTTGTACCGGTTTAAGTCTAACTTCTGCTCCTGACTACGCATGCATGTGTTGCATGCACAAATGTAGGGCAGTTTGCTTTGCTTGGCATCATTTGCCGAGGGAAACATGGGAATAGATAGAGTGAAGTCTGCAGCGTTTTTGAGCCCCACTGTTTACACCAACCACATCACCTCTCCAATCATTAGTGTTGCTGTGAAATTGGGTCTTGCCGAGGTATATATACTACACGTACAAACTTCTAAACGCAAAATAAATAGGGTTTTTAACAAAAGTATTACTAAATAAAACTTATTTACACAAATATGACTAATAGTTACTATAATGTAGTGTCATGGTAACCAGGGGCAGAGCCAGGATGTGACCAAGGGGGGACGAAGTATTAGTGTGTTGTTTACCTTAAACTTTCGATAATGTCTACCCTTGAATTTATTTAGGTTTACACTTCGTATTAGATGCAATCATATCTAATACTATGTACTCCGTAATACGTAGTACTACGTATATTTTTGTGATAAAATAATTAAATAATTACGCCTCTAAATTAGCCCGGGCACCATGGGGTAATGAGGATTTTCTTATTAACTATAAAAAATGGGAGATAATTAAAGTGTTTTTTGCTGCCACACCAAAATTAACAAAAATTGAGGGGTCAAAATATATTACAAGATAAAATTTAATGAAATTTAAAAAATTGCTAAGAGACCAAAGCCCCCTGAGACCTGATCCCTACTGGTTATTCAACATTTCACACACTCATTATTGAACTCTAAAGTTATTGTAACTATCATTACAATTTTATTAGCCCAAATTAGGTGTTGTTATCCTTTTGGAGTTTTGGTTATCACCGTAAACGTTGTTTGCTCTTATTAGTCCAAAACATGATACTCACCGAACACCAAACGTTGCTTGAATTGCTTGCTGGTTGCTACTTGCTAGTACAAAAGCTTTACTAATAAGTAATACTAATATAAAATAATTAAAATGTTGGGAGGGGCCATGGCCCCCTACCCCTAGGCATAGCTCCGCCCTTGATGGTAACTTAAGTTTAAAATTGAACATAATTTACAAAGATTTCATTACTGCACTAGTCACTGGTCACATTTTTGTAAACAATCTTTATTTTTGTAAACAATCTTTATTTTGTAAACATAATTATTTCAACTAAATGTTACGGAGTATCTTTTTAAAAAATGATTTTTTTCTCCTAAAGAATATAGGTTTAGATCCAACATTCTGAAAAACGCTTAATTATATGGTTATATTATACTCCCTCCTTATTTATATAGTTGCAAGCTACTCCGTATTATTCAAGTTTTGAAAAATGTTTAAACACATGCAACACTTTAAAAATTAATGAATCAAGTTTTTGTCAATGTTCTACTTTTACCATTTTGGTCCGTAACTTATTTATAATTTACAACTCCGTATTATGTATAACGATGTATATAGTTGTATACAATGCACGTGTGCTAATAAATTTAACATTATTTTTATTTGGATTTATATATGGTTCTTTTGTGTTTAATTAATTCAATGTTCCCAGATGGGTGCACGTATTGGGCTTTATGAATTCGACGCGGATAGGTAGGTACACCATATACCCATGCATATTTTACACAACCTTTTTTCTAACACTTCTATCGCCATAATAGAGACAGTATATATTAGCTTCAAAGAACATCACAAATCATTTGTTAAACATCGTAAATTATTGTTAGGAGTGTCATTTTTACGCTGAACGAATAAGTCGAATTTTGTCTGAGCGAATAAGTCTTATTTCCTATTAACTCTCAAGTAAACACACCTGAATGGTTGAACGATTAAGTCAACATATCCATTAAGTTCATTAAGTCATAAGTAAACGGCTCCTAAGTGTTATCAAAGTAGTATTTGTTAAAGTACTTCAACCACAAAATATTATGGAGTAATTAATAAATTACTTCATAAAATCTCAGACTAATTTGGATTGACTTTTTAGGATGAAACATGTAGTTTTAACATGGTGTGAGAGCCAAGTACGATTGTGATTTGAATGTGTAGCACTCATGGTTCAAGGTAACTCACTTTGGGTTATTTGACCCGGCCATTTGCACACTCGATGATGTTTGAAAGTTGAAACTAATAAACTACATAGTACTATATAAGATACTCCTTCCGTCTCACGCGATTTACGATATTTGACTGACCACGTTGATCGAAGAATAGTGGACGGGAATCTTTAAATGGGACGGAGGGAGTACTACGCACAATTCATCACATCGGAGTAGCCTTCTAGAATGAAATCCCTGAGTATTAATGGTTTTACATAAAAAATGCATGTTGCCTGTGCATATATAGTGCAATGAATTATACTCGTATATATTTTTACCATTATGAATGAGAAATCTTCATTTTTTATAAAAGCTTACTTAATCATAGAAGTGTCACCAAATTAAATACTTCGTATACCATTGCTTTTTTTAACTGTTAGCACTTTTAGAGTTATTAAATCTCAAATTCAGTGAATCATATTAATCTCAACTCTTACGTTAATATCTTTACTAATTTGTTCATGATTCAATAGTGTTTCTGAGGGGGAAATGAGAAGTTGTAATCATGATCATTAATTTGAATAGTAGATGAAGGAGATCGTTTTTTATGCAGAAGTGTGATCACATTTTTGTAAAATTTGAAAATGTAACATGAAAAAGTGTCTCATTGTATTTAGATAGCCGTTCATTTCTGATGAGTGTAAAACAACTAATTGTAACTACCTACACATTCGTAAAGGGTGAAATAAGTTTACACTTGACCTCATTTTTCAATGAAAACGAGTAACAGGTTCTTCCTAGTGGGATTTCCAAAAGCCAAAAGTTTATACACACATACACATACATATAAATGCGCACAAATATAGGGTGCAGTTTCAATAAAAACGGTCTTCCCGTACAACATGCGAGCGACCCCACCTTTTATCATTAGGGTTTCACTCTATATTGCATTCATATTATTTTCGTCATGCACTTTTGCAATAAAGAAAAACTTGGATTTATCTATGAAAATGCAACTACCTATTTCATCTACTTTAATGCATTTTTGACATATCGAGAACCATTAGATCATAAACCCGATGTTCAATATTTATTCCTACTTTTCACGGGGAGGACTATTTATATTTGATCCTATCAACAATAGCAACAACATTACCCCAGTGCCGCAAAGATCCCTACCTACGGTGAGGTAAAGGGAAGGTCAAATGTACACAGTCTTACACATGTACAAAAACATAGAAAGATTATTTCCGGATGATCCATGATGAAAATTGCATAAATAATTGCATGAATTGATTGTTGCTTCATAAGAAAAGAAGTGCAAACAATTTAGTGAGTTATTTTACTTTATTCCATCCTATCTCCAAACCAAAAGAATAGTCTTTGATCTTATATTTATAAAAATGGTGTGTTATACCGTCTCACGAATCCTTTGGAATAACTTATTGCGTGCATTTTTTTGAATAGTTGTTAATTACGGAGTACTACCTCCGTTATTAAATAAATGCAACACTTTGACTTTTACACTGTTCACATGTTCTACTTTGACTACGTTTTATTTATTAATGTAATAATATTATTTTATGAAAGAATATTGTTAAACTTGTCTCATTGTAAATTTTCTTAATCTAATTTTTTAAATTTTTTTACTAATACAAAATCATTTATAGTAATGATCAAAGTTGTGTCTCAGCAAGTGTGAAATGTTGACCGTTGCATTTATTTAAGAACGGAGGAAGTATTAGGTAAGTGCTATATATAATACCAATATATAATACCATATTTTATTGTGTTTTATATTTTATTAGTTCATGCCATTATTTCATCATTGTTCATATTTAAAACACTTAATAGCAACATTATGATTGCTCCACACGTACAAGGTGCGATACCTTATTCAGCTTGAGGATACGTACACTATTATTAGACTTATATTTATCAATGTTATAACAGTCAACCGGTGTCTCGCATTGTGAAATTATTGTGTTCTCAGCCAACGATTGTGTGCGGTGAGTTGCCAACTCCATTGACAGGTACGCTATAATGAAATGATTGCTACCTTCCGAACTACCCCCTCTCTCCCCGTCTTTTCTTTCAACTTTCCTTTTTGAGACATCCCAATTAATTCTTCCAACTTCCATTTTTGATAAAAATATGGGGTTCACATTCATTCACCTTTTCATACACAACTACAACCATACATTTTCACTTTATTCCCACTACCTAAATTTGCAATAACGGTCAAAACCGGAAGAAATGACTGGGACGGAGGGAGTATATTAATTACTCCCTCCCGCCCAAAATGTAAAGATACACCGGACCGAGTTTGATGGAGTTTTAATAGAATAAAGGTCATAATTGTTATTTTACCAATGTAGACTTCCAAAAGTAAATGGTTAAATGATATCTATTTTGTCCCTATTAATTTACATTATGTAAAAGATTTTTACGGACATTAAATGAATTATACTTCGTATAAAGTACTCCCTCCGATTCCTAAAGAAGTTCCACATTTGACTTCACACATATTAAGAAAATAAATTTGACTTTACTGTGGAGTGCACTGTTTGACACTGTTTGGCACTGTTTGACACTGTTTGACACTGTTTTGATGTAGATAATAAGGAAATGTTTGAAAGTGGAACTTAATTTTGAATCTGCCCGAAAAGGAAAGGTGGAACTTGTTTCAGAAACGGAGGGAGTAATGAATATGGTAGGAAGAGAATGAGAATGAGTGGTGAAGTGATGGAAAGATAAAAACAGAAAAAGTAAGCATGGAACTAAAAAATGTTTGAAGAAACAGAACATGAAAAAGTTGGGTAAAAATTTTCAAAAATAGAAATAGGTCAACTGATGAAAAAATTTCAAAAAGGAACTCAAGTAATTTATTCATGAATTAAGGGAGTAGATACAAAGATAAAACAGTAACATTAATAGAAGTGACACATATTTGTTTCAAAATAATATCATTGTTTTATAAGCATTACACGGCAAAAGAATCAAACTCATACACTTGATCAATGGTGTTATTGTGAATAAAATTGTATTGAATTGTCACATACGGATGGTAGGGCATACAAATATCATGATTTCCAAAATTGTACTGATTGGTATTGGATACATGTCAAAATCAAACCATTTGTTATCATCCTATTTTGAAACAGGATTGTTGTTTTTAAGCGGTATTGTAATATCCTACTCTGATCCGTACATATATAGTGGTGAAATCATTCTAAAAAATACAAACATCTAAATCATATACATCTAAAGTTTTGTATATTTTGATGGCCTATATACCCCCTCTTAATTCCGTGCAAGTATTTATGTGTTTATTTGTTACTGAGCACATGTACATAATGTTAATACGTAGGTAAAAACTGTTGCATCAATAAGATGGCTAAGCAGCTATTCGCAAAGAATGGAATGGAACCCACGTCAATTAGAAACTTGAAGCATTTATCTCAGAGTAAGCGGTCTATATAGGCATTTACCATAAACATATTTTATTCCTAGACTTTTTACTCTCCACTTTTTCATTTTTGTAATGAGAGGCTATTACAACATTAATTTCATAATTATAAGATGATATAATGACTCATAGCAAACCAATCTTGTAAGATATCCGTGAATTTGAGTGCATTGATTACAGATGTTCGACATGGTACTTTAGAAAAGTATGACTATGGGACTACAGAAGCGAATATGGAACACTACGGTGCAAAAAACCCGCCCCTATATGACTTGAGCCACATTCCTAGGAACCTATCGGTGTTCATAAGTTATGGAGGCGCCGACAAGATGGCTGATGCCGATGACGTGAAAATTCTGGTGGAAGAGTTGAAGCCAGCCTTGGACGGAGATAAGTTGCGGGTTCAGTACATTCCTAACTATGCTCACTACGATTTCGTTATGGGACTCACTGCCAATCGTGATTTGTATGGCAACCTCACTGCCTTCATCGACCAGAACAAATAGCTAGATCCATTACGCTAGCTATTTAAATAATTAAATGTATGACAGGATTATATATTGTTGATTAGATGTATTAATCCATCATTATAACATGTCGTATCCTTGGCTACTTTTGTAATATGCATTGCAATGTTGTATTATAGCTACAAACGAACAAGGCAGATCCTACCTCACCAGTTATTTATTAAATACATATTCTTTCTCAATAACATGCCAAACACTTTGTGTGAGGCGGTGCAAATTAAGACAACATATAGGTCATGTTGTCGAAACCGCAGCAGATGAGTCGAAACCTGAACAAATCAAACATGTATGTACAGTATACACCTCACATTTGCAAAATTGTATGCTTATTTGGCACCAAAATGGTGTATTTGGCAAAAAAATGCTCCAACCTTAGTTTTAAAAGGCACGAGGCGACTTGAGGCGATTTCATTGATTTACCCGAGGCGCGAGGCGCTAGGCGGTGAGCGCGCGCCTCACGGATCTCAGCCGCATTTCTTTGGTGAAATATATTTTTAGTACTTCTACATGAAGCACTCTTCTCAAAAAATACTTCAAACTATTAAACAATCTTAATAAACATCATAAGAGAAACAGAATATTCATTAAAGATAATAAGACAGAAGCAAGAAATATATGTTTAAAGGCATAATTGCCAAAAGTCAAGTTACAAACTCAATCTTAAAACTTCAAAACATAACTAAAAAGCAAAGTAGCAAACTCGCAAGCACAATTGTGAAATCTAGGCCTAGAATTCATCACTGTCATCATCCTCATTATCGAGAGTAGCAAACATTTCCTTCATAAACAATTAATAGTCATTTTGTGATAAATTGAATAATTAAGTTATATAAAAACTGTTAATAGTAATTTAAATAATTAATGTAATAAACTGTTATATAAAAAATTGTTAAAAAATCTTAAAAATAAAAACTGTCATTTTATGCAATACATAGTTAATAAATCAGTGTTCTAACACTACAATATACAGAGTATATGATATAGTATTATGATATTATCATTGTTACGGGATATACTACGGAGTATAAAATAATACATATTTAATTAATAAACTATCACATAAATACAATTCTGTAAAAAGAATCACAGATAGATTTGTAAATTTAAATAATTTAAATAATTTTGTAAATTTAAAAACTTAAAAGTTAAAATACTTAACTTTTTTTCAGTTATCTATCAAAACTTATAAATAGCGAAAGATAATACTATACCAATTATCTAACTTTTATTTAAATAATTTTAATACGTAGTATTTTTATAAATATAACAACTTAAAATAAAATAAAATAAATAGCAGAAGACAAAAAAGGTAAACACTTACCTACGACGCGAGATAGCAGCGCAACACAAGTTAAGTCGGAAGACTCAGAGGCTCAGAGCTACGCCAGATATATCGGAAGACCAAAGGAAGAAGGCAGAAACGAAGAAGAAGACTAGAGAGGAGTGAGGAGTAAGGAACTTACTTCCCTGAGGCGTCAATTGCGCTCGCCTTTTAGAAGCGCAAAAGGCGCGCTTAAGCAAGAAAGGCGATCGCCTCTAGGAACCTGCGCCGCCTTGGTAAGTAAATTGCGATGAACCTAGCACCTATATGCGCCTAGCGCCTGAGGCACGCTTTTTTAAACTAAGGCTCCAACAATAACACCAAACTTGACACCATTACACCAAAATGGGGGAGGGGGGATGGTTTGCGCTATATATGGCGTACGCCATTTCTTGCACCATCCTCTTTTTGTATTTTTTTTCTAATTTCAAATGTGACCCAAAGTTTTGGTTATTATAGTTTTATCCATTTTTAAAACAACAAATTAGGAAGTTTTACTTGGACTGAAATTTGTTGGTCTGGTCTGGTCTGGTCTGAATTGATGTGGCCTGGTCTGATTTCTTTGTATTTTTATAACTACCCAAGTTTGGTCTAATCCGGTCTGATCTGATCTGAAACAAATTACAGTCCAAGTAAAAACATCCTTATACAACAACAATCAAAACAATTAATTTGATAAAAAAATATAATAACATTTAAATCACACAATATTATAAATAAAGATTCAAATCCAAACAACATAATAATAGAAAACAAATGGTACTTAAGAAAATAACATAATTAAAATTACAATTAATAACACCACAACAACAACAACAACATCCAAGCCTTAGTCCCAAAAGATATTGGGGTCGGCTAACATGAATCGATACATGATATCACAACCAAAAGGAAAAGAAAGAATAAAGATAAAAAGATAAGCTATTATGAAAAGATAATATAAAAAAAGATGAATATATATAAAAATGATAAAATAAAAAGGCTGCAAATAATGCTTATATATATAAGGATAAAAAAACTAGGGAAAAAAAAGAGATGAGGGAAAAAGATTATCAAGATCACTCCTTCACGTGAATACCCGCACTCCACTTAGTTCTCTCCAAAGTCATGCCTACATCCAACCCCAGAAGAAGCATATCACTTCGAACTCCCCTAACCCACGTCTGTTTGGGTCTTCCTCTCCCTCTCTTCCCTGCCTCTTCTCCACACATCTCAACTCGCCTAACAGGTGCATCACTCGGTCTTCTACGCACATACCAAACCATCGTAGGCGCGACTCCCGCATCTTGTCTTCAATAGGTGCTACTCCCACCCTTTGTCTGATTGTCTCATTCCTCACGCGGTCCTTCCTAGTATGCCCACACATCCAACGCAGCATGCGCATCTCTGCCACACTCATCTTTTGAATGTGACATCGTTTCACCGCCCAACACTCTACGTCATACAGTAATGCAGGCCTAATTGCTGTCCTATAAAATTTACCCTTCAATCTAGTCGGCATACCTCGGTCGCATAGAAATCCTGATGCACTCTTCCACTTCATCCACCTTGTTCTGATTCTATGGGATACATCTCCATCTAACTCACCATCCTTTTGAATTATGGAGCCCAAGTAACGGAACATATCGCTGACTGGTATCTCCTTACCATCCAGAGTAATTCCGCTATTACCACTACTTCTACCTCCACCAAACTTGCACTCCATGTACTCTGTCTTGCTCCGACTTAGTTTGAAACCCTTATTCTCCAATGTTTGTCGCCATACTTCCAACTTTGCTTTAAGACCTGATTGCGTCTCATCAATCAATACAATATCGTCGGCAAACATCATGCACAACGGTATATCATCTTGAATTGACTTCGTAAGTTCATCCATGACTATGGCAAATAAGAAAGGACTCAAGGCCGATCCTTGGTGCACTCCGATAGTAATAGGGAACTCTTCAGTCCTCCCTACACTAGTACGAACACTTGTAGTACAATCCTCATACATATCCATGATGATGCTGATATACTTGCGTGATATGCCTTTCCTAGTTAAGGCCCACCAAAGAACTTCTCGAGGCACCCTATCATATGCCTTTTCTAAGTCAATGAACACCAAATGCAGATCGTTATGAGCATCTCTATACTTCTCCATAAGTTGTCGAAGAAGGTGAATGACCTCAGTTGTTGAGCGACTAGGCATAAAACCGAATTGATTCTCTGAAATCTTCACAGTCCTTCGAAGTCTTTGCTCAATCACTCGCTCCCAAAGTTTCATGGTGTGACTCATAAGCTTAATCCCTCGATAGTTGGCACATTCTTGTACATCACCTTTATTCTTAAATAAGGGGATAAGAGTACTCTTCCTCCAACTCGTTGGCATCTTGTTGTTTCTCCAAATCATGTTGAAGAAACTTGTTAACCACTCAACGCCTCTCTCTCCCAAACTTCTCCAAGCCTCGATCGGTATGCCATCTGGCCCCATTGCTCTTTTCCGTCCCATCTTCCTCAGAGCTTCTTTAACTTCCGTTGTTTGGATCCTTCTCACAAAATCACGGTTTACCATACAATCTGGTATGGACAAATCGCCGATATCTTGTGTTTTGTTCACGTTGAATAGTGTATCAAAGTATGACCTCCACCTCTCTTTTATCTCTTCGTCGTCCATTAATATCATCTGATCAACATCCTTCACACATTTAACTTTTGCAATATCTTGAGTTCTGCGATCACGAAGACGAGCAAGTCTATAAATATCTAGCTCTCCTCCCTTAGAGTCCAACTTTTCATACAACTCCTTGTTCACTTTCCCTCGTGCTTCCCTTACGGCTTTCTTTGCTTGTCTTTTAGCCTCCCTGTATGCTTCTATGTTCTCATCACTCCAATTTGTCCCCAACTTTTTGTAGCAATCTCTTTTGTTCCTTATGGCTTGTTTCACCTCATCATCCCACCAAGATGTGTCCTTTTTAGGTGGCCGACATCCTTTAGATTCTCCAAGTACCTCCTTTGCCACTTTGTTAATGGTCAACTCCATTGATAACCACACATCATCAAAATTACAATTAATAACACCATTATAATAAAATTTAAAACATAATAAAAAACATACATAGTACATACTAATTTTAGCTTGTATTTGTGAAATATTGATTATTGTGTTTTAATTAGTGAAATGCGTGAAAATACATATTAAAATGATGTATTTTAGTTTGTATGTGTGAAATAATGTGTGAAATGTCAAAATATTAAATGAGGGGCTAATGTATAAATATAAGATAGTTAGATACTTAAATAGAAGAATGGTAAAAAGTTAGTAAAAAGAATAAAAAGAAAATATTCCGTTTTGGTGATGATAATGGTGTAAACTGTTTGATGTTATGTTTACACCATTTTAGTGTAAAAAATTGTGTTAACGGTTGGAGATGGCCTTAAATCATTTTACTCACCTGTTCTCCTAACACATATCATCCCACTGGTTGTTTCTTAAGAAATCAATGATGTAAAACAATTAACCAATGTACCAGTAACTAAACAAACTGCCTGAAATGAATAAAAGGAAATTATGAGCATTTCCACTGAAATGGTTTCAACAGGCAAAATTAAGGTGATTCCTTCTTATTGATTAAGGAAAAACTTCATGAATCAAATCGGCCAAAAAAAATGAGAGGGAGAAACACTAACCAACAGTCCTACACTGCAGGTATTTATAAATCCAGTCTCAACGTGTAGATCCCAGTCTGTTCCAAATCCCACTTCCGTCTCAACCAGTAGATCCTGTTGCCTTCCATTTTGGATGCTGCTGCTTAGCATAATGCATAACTCACATGCGTTTGATGCTGCCAACTTACCGTATGAACCATAAGTGGGGCAATTAGTAAGAGCATTACAGGCATAATAATAAAATAATATCGATTAAAAGGACAGCAGAAACAAACTTTGGTCATCGAATCACTGCCGATTGAATTCATTGCCTCCTCTTCAAAATCAAAGCATAATTGTGAATAAAATAACCTGAATAAAATAATTGTGAAAAAAAATGGGGCAGTGAAAGATAACTGTAATTGTTTTTAACATAAAACCTAAGTTGTGCTAAACATAGTAATTTTACACAACATTATGGGACATTAGACTGACCAGTGACCACACTATACAACTCAACTCAATTAAGCTTAGGTGTTACACGAAAATTTATAATATACCATATATGCCTTTACCCTCATTCATGCTTACAAACATTAAAAGAAATTTATAACAAAACTGTGTTGTGAGAAGAAATACAAGCAGAGAAATGGCATGAAATCTTCCAGCAAGATCTGTTTTTTAACTTTTTTCAAAATGCATGAATGTTGGTTACACATGCAACAGACACTGCACAGATTGACTTCATACAATGGCAACAACTCAAGCTTGTTACTTTCCTTCTACTCAGAGGTTGGTTTTCTCTCATGCTGAACAACTGCTCTGGGCAAGAAAGTCAGGCCACGACTTTTGTTACGACCAAAGCTGATGGATGAACGAGAGTCAGAAGTGCTTAATTTTGAGACTGCTGAAACGAGTTTGTCCATTGTCTTGTCCTCCACGCCTGACTCATGCTGTTTTGATGTGTCCTTGTAGGATGATTCCTGCCTCCGTCGTTGGTCTTTGTGTCTCCTTTTCTTCTGTGACGGATGCGCTTTTCTGAAAAACTCATATGAAGCTGGGAATTTATGCTTGTCAACCAGGTGCTGTTGCCGGAACTTGTAGCTATTCAGCTTAGCACCACAGCCTTCCACTAGACACTCATACTGCAAATTTTGAGATATACTTGCTTACAAAACGATCTTTAAAAATGTATGACCTAATTTGAGAATGTGATATGACTTGGCAGAATGAGAAAACTTACCATAGCAAACCCACGAGCAACTTTTGCTTGGAAGAACGAATCATGAGTTTCAGATATATGTATACTCAGCAGACGTGATGTGGGGTAAACTCTTAAGCAGACTGAGCAAGATGCAGAGTGCCGTGCAATGTAGTGATCTTCAAAGTCATCCAAACACCGCAACCGTGCACCACATCCAATGATTGGACATAGCACATCACTATACAAAGCAATGGGATTCAATGGTGCATTATTGAGCCGTTAACTATATTATTACAAAACCTTACAAATTTTTAGTCATTTTTAACAGTCAGTGATGTCAAACAGGAAAAGAACATGCAAACCATGTAAATAGAGAGATATCGATGATGATAAGATCATAAGAGTAAATGATAATGCCTTGGCAATATGCCTGTTTTCTTTCCTGATCGCTCGATCTTATATCGAACTGCCCTCTATTAATGGTGGGATTGAGGTATTAATTCACTCGGGAAAAAATGAGGTGCAAATGTCATGCCAGAAAGATACTGGGACAGTGCCAGTCAAATCTTAGATAGAATAGTCCAAGGGGAGAGGCACTAAGGCCATGTCCAAATGATGGGTACTTAGCAATGTTTAACCAGCAAAAATAGTTGTGGCAAGTGAATAAATGATCTCACATTTGATCAGAGTCTCAGACACATGGACTATTAATGCTTGAAAGTGTTTAAATTTGAAATAGCAGATACATTAATACAAACACACCGTCTCTCCCAACAAAATTACTCCCCAAGTAAATGAGGAGATTCCTAAATCTGAATCCATGTGTTCTGCTTAAATTTTATATACTCAGTGCCAAAGTGTATTCCCAATTAAACAATTTGGTTCCCTTAAGTTTATTTTTGTTCGACTGTTTTTTCAAGTCCATATAGTAGGGATTAGTAGCCTTACTTTACTTTACTTTACTTTACTTTACGGCTTATCAGCAATATATTTTAAGAAATGCTAATTTCTTTGTTAATATTTTACTTCCTAGTCCCCTGTGTTAGTTAATAATGAGAATAAAGGTTAGATGCAGTTTTTGGAGTGAAAATTGCCGTTTTAGTCCTGTTTTCAAATGTTTATTCTGTATATTACTAACCATTTTTTAAGGGAAAGAGATGAGAAGTCTAAAATACAGAGTATGTTACTAACCAAAATCTTTTAAATAGGGAGTATGTTATTTTCATGTTGCAGCAAGTCTAGCCATTTCAGTCCAACTTCCTCGATTTCCGCTTGTTCAACAATTTTAAGTCTTAGAAGAATGGTTCTCATTTCAAATTCCAGACACAGTCACAAACATCCCCTTAGTAAGAAAAAGTTGGGTTATCTTTCAAGTGAATTGAATAATTTTAAATCACCTGTTTACTCCGTCATCTATATTTCCGGCCACCTGCTCCTCTTTTCTGCTGAAATCCAGTGCTACCTGGTTTAAAGAGGGGCATAATCGAGATGCCAAAACCTAAGTTAGTAATTTGAAACAATCTACGTAAAGATCAGAGCATCGCAAGGCAGAGGAATATGAGGAACCTGTTTAGCCAGAAGTTGTCTTTCAATGTTACCAGCAGCGAAGAAAGGATCATCTGGAAGGTACCGCCTGCGAGACGGACTCCAAAAAGGAAACCCCGGCTGGACCATTTCGACCTCCATCGCCATAGCGATTTTCTAACTGACGCTCTGCAACGCCGTTGTACCATTTTATTTGGGTGATGCTCCGTGCACCTGGCTTTGCGCACCCATTTTTTGTCAAATTTGGACAAGTTTGTCTTTGGTTAAAGTTCACCACTTCTAGAGGCCGTTTGGCAATCCTCATTTTCGGCTTATCAGGCTTATCAGTCAACTTTTTTACCAAACACGTAAATTTTGCTTTCGCGCGCTGAATTGTGTAATAAGGCGAAAAAGTAAGGTTGAAGTTACTTTTCTGGCTGTATTGGCTGAAGTTACCGTAGATGATCATTTTAGCTATTTTTACATATAATTTTTTCTTTATTTTATTAATAAAATATATTTCAAAAATATTTTATTCTTGTATCAGCAGAATCAGCCAATGCAGCCACTTCAGCCAGAACTTCATAAATTTCAGCAGAATCAGCCAAAACAGCCGATTTTCGTGCTACCAAACAGGCCCCTAGTGTGCTAGACGCACCACCTACCTAATTACCAAGCATCTCCCTTCATTCATATTGATTTTTAATGTTTATGGGCCTTATTGCTTTTTTATAATAAAAATGGTTTTAATGTTTCCTAAAAATTTGTGTAACATGTTTTTGAAACATAACATGACTATCACTCTAAGTTCCTAATATAATCAGAATTAAATTTTTTAACTACCATCAAACAACTACTATATAAATATTTGAAACCTATTACTAATGCTTTTATAAAGTTTTTACAGTTTTCTTACTCCCTCTGTCCCTTAAAACTGTCAACTTTCCTTTTTTGAATGTCCCACTAACTTTGACATTTTCTCTTTTAAGTAAAGAATTGGTGGTTCCAGTTCATTCTCTCTTCTGTGCACAAACCTCAACCACACAGTTTTTACTTTATTAATCCTCGTGCCGGTCAAACTTGGCAAAGTTTTAAGGGACGGATGGATGGAGTATAATGGAGGATGAATCCGAAAATTATCTAAAAAATAGTACTCTTGATTTTCAGACTTATGAGGTATTCATCTGCCCCACGGACACACATAAACAAATGTCTAATAGGACAGACTAGACTAGACCAAACTTAAATAGAACAAATAAGATAAGATTATATCAAATTAGACTAGACCAGTAAATTTTAAGTCAATTAAAAACATCCTTATTGATAGTATAAGAATAAATTAATGTCATCCAGTAAATAAATTTCTGTCAAACTAATAAGTACACTTCAAATTGCAAGTGTCTTTTTCTAAATTAATGACTCACATATATAATTTAGAATGTTAGTTTAATATTTTTTTATTTATCCAAAGTTTTTTAATGTAAATATGCATAATTAATTTTTTGACTATGTTTAAACTTGTAGAGTGCAACGAATATTTTCAATTCAACTTGTTTCGGTCTGTTATTATGCTATACCATATACAACTTAGATACTAGTAACACATGTACAAGACTAGATCAAATCGGACCAGAATTGAACATTGTTCTAAAACTCACTAGGTGCTAGTCGGGCAGTTGACGGGCGCCTAGCGCCTAGGTGGTCGACTAGGCCGAGTTTTTGACTGCCTAGACCGATTAGTCCTCTACAGTTAGAGCCGACTACGCCGACTAGACCGATTCAAACAAATTAGATCAGATCAGGCTGGACTTGATTTAAAAAATACTACGTAGTAAATATACATGAATTGACCGTTCAATAGATCTGATCAAAGTTTTTTTCTTCAATTTTACATATATGATATTGGTGTCATATAAAAGATCATAAAAAATTATTTAATTTGATATAATTTTTATAATAATAGGAGCAAAATTGGAAAAGTTATAACATTTTATAAAAAAGGGAAAATTGGCCACATGAGAGAAAGTTATTGGAGGGAGAGTAAATGTCAAATTGTTACATGGTGCGGCCTATTTTTATTTTAGAGAAGCACCAAGTCCCATTAAATTAAAAATCATGAAGGGAGATGCTTGGTTATTACGTAGGTAGTGCGCGTAGCACCATTAGAAGCGGCGTCACCTTTGACCAAGGATAAACTTGTCCAGATTTGACAAAATTCGGTGCGCAAAGTAATATTGGAGGCGCACGGAGCAGAGGCGATTTTATTTGGAGCTCTGTTCGCGATTCAAATTTTATTCGAATTAAGAAAATTCAAATACAAATTAGAATATTAAATTTGATTCGGGTTGTTATCAAATACAAATAAGAATATCAGTGTATTCGATTCAAATATTAATCAAATATATTCGATTAATAATAATGGTAATGTTAATGTCAATATTAATAATAATAGTAATAAAACTGTAACAAGTTAATATCAATAGTAATAATAATAATAATGGTAATGTTAATGTCAATCTTAATTATCTTCAAACTTTCCTTTTCGGTCTGTTCCAATATTATCTCCTCCTTCCCTTTTTGGCAAAGAATTTGTGGTTCACAATCATTCTTACACATTTCTCTCTCCTCTGCACAACTCTCCACCACACAAAACCCACTATCTTTGTTGAAGACTATTTTATTGTGATTCAAGTTTGTCTGTTTTGTCTGTAATAATTTAGATGTTTACTATTTCTGTTCTGCACTGATTAAATATATCTGTTAGAATAGTATTCGATATGGGCCAAGTGTTAGGCCCATACTTAGGCAAGAAGCCTTTTTACGCATACCTGAGCCTCGCCTATAAAAAGGGGCGGAGGACTCAGGTTTGCGGTTAACTTTCGTATCTGCTCAAAATAGCCTTAGCGCTTATCATTCTTGTACGAAAGGTTCACGGTATATCAGAGAAGGTTTTCACTTGATCTTTCTGTGTTCACCTTTGTTGATAATCTTTCATCTGTATGTCATATTATACTGTTGTTATAGAAAACAGGGACTAACAAATGGTATCAGAGCCGATCGAGAGCTGATCAGAAGAACTATCTGTGAAAGACTCTGTTTTTGTAGAATAGCGAGTTTATCATCTGTAATCTTATTTCTGCACCAAATACTGTAAAAGTTATACTGTTAGAATCGCGTTTCAAAGACGATCAAGCAGTATATCTTCCTTTTTCGTTTCCGCATTTTTTCGTTCTCTGTAAACTCGCACCCAAGAACTCGCATCCCTCGTTTCTCTAAGCTCTGTGCAGCTTTTTGACCTGAAACTTGGGTAAAAGGATCTCTACAACAAGGGCTTCAACCTACCTTTTTTGTTTTTCTGAAAATCTGAAGTTTTATTTTTTCAGGAATTCGCAGCCCAAGGTGTTATTGCATAAACTCGCAGCTGCAAACTCGAGTTGAGAAACTCGCTGTCTGCAAACTCGAGCTCAAGAACTCGCAGTCTACAACTCGCGTTCTACAACTCGCGGCCTGCAAACTCGCAGCCTGCAAACTCGCAGTCTGACCACGAGTTTTGACCCTGCGAGTTTACACCTCGAGTTTTGGAAACTCGAACTCTTGACCTCGAGTTTATAAACTCGAACTCTCACCTCGAGTTCCCCAGACCTCGAGTTTAGGCTTTTAATACTCGGGAACTCGAGTTCTTGACTTAGTAAATTTTCTGATCTTATTTCTCGAACGGTCAGTTTTCTACAGCTACAGGAATGACTTCTGAATCCAATGCGCAAGGAAACAGCAGTACTCCTCCATCTCTGAGGAAAGGGGAGTACCAAATGTGGAGAACTCGTTTCTTGAATTTCCTAGAACACAAAGAAAACTCCGACGCAATGCTGGAATCACTCCTGGAAGGACCAGCTGTTCTAATGATTGACGTAGGAGGGGACTCAACTAATAATCCACCCATTCCTCCGGAAACAAGACGAAAGAGGCCGTTCGAATACACTGAAGCAGACAAGCTAAGGCTGAGAGGAGACCTTATGGCCAAAACATACCTCCTCCAAGCCATCCCCAATGAAGTGTACGTGATGATTGACAGTATGCAAACTGCAAAAGAAATGTGGGATGAGATTGAAAAATTACTCCAAGGCACGAGCATAAGCCTAAAAACCAAGAAATCCGCTATTCTAATGGCTTATGACTCGTTCAAGGCTGCTCCTGGAGAACCTCTTCACGAGACTCATGCCAGGCTTGTGAAGCTGATGAATGAAATGAGGAAAATCAAAATATTCAGAACCAACCTGGAACTGAATACTAGATTTTTGTCCAGTCTGCACCCATCTTGGAGTAAAACAGTAAAGGACTTGAGACAACGCATTGACATGGATGAAATTGATCTCTTCACCTTAAATGAGCTGTTAAAGGAGTTTGTCAATGACGTTGTGTGCACTGAGGAGCAACCAAGCCCAAATCCTCTAGCTCTATTGATGGAAGCTCAGCCCAAAAGAACAGCAAAACCTCTGCAGAAGAAGAAAAAGAAAGTAGTGGAGGTTGAATCTGATGAAGATGAGAGTGATGAAGAAGGAACTGATCTTGAAGCTGAGCTTGCAGATCTCCAGAAGAAGATGGCCCTACTGGCCAAGAAGTTTGCCAAGAGGAACAGCTCTTCAAATAAGCTGCGAACCTCTTCCTCCAACTACAAACAGAAGAACCAGGACCAAAGCTCAGCCAGGAAGGCTACATCAACTGCTAATACCCCTGTGTGCTATAACTGCGGGAAGCCTGGACATGTCAGCAAAGACTGTCGGCTTCCAAAGAAGAGAGATGCAAACTTCTACAAACAAAAGATTCTGATGAATAAACAAAAGCTCTTTTTGGCACAACAGGAGGAAGTAGAAGCCTCTGGCAAACATGCTGAGCTGGTCCAGTGGGCGGAAGATGATACTGAAGAAGAAGAAGAAGAGAAAGAGAACTTCGCTTTGATGGCAAGGCTGGAGGATGAAGAAGAGAAAAAGGGTGATGATGCGATCCCCGGAAGTGAATGCTCTACAAGCACTGTAAGTACCTCTAATCACTCTCACACTATACAAACTCAGTCCTTACACAATAAGGACAACCTCATTAAAGAACTGCAGGAGAGATTAGACAATAATTACAGGGTACTGAAACAGAACCTTGACCAAAAATCTTCCTTAAGCATTCAACTTGAAAATGCCAAAGATCAAATCAAAAGGGTATCCTCAGACTTTGAAAGCTTTGAACTTAAAATAGCTGAACTGACTAAGAAACTG